GATATGGAGGACCTCAGGGTCCATGAGGGTTCATAATTTCAAAGCAACACAGATGAATAAGAAGACCCAAGACCATTATGACATTTATAAACCAGAACATTTAATTAGATCATATGGGCAGGTTGATAAAAAAAAGTTTTCTATTTAAGTAAAGTTTATTGCATCCACTCATTGACCGTGTTGGATTCGCTCCTTATGGAGAAGGTAGATGTTATTGTGTTGTTAAATCTACTTGAATCCATCACACTGAGCATGCACGCAGCGACAGTGGGGAGGAAAAATACCTTGGTTGGTAGTTGGTTCCACAGGAGAGGAGCCTTATAACTAAAAGATCTGCCTCCCATTCTACTNTGAAGGCTTTTAACTACAGTTTGATTAGATCACATCTGCTGGAGGTTAATGCAAACAGCTGGTCAATTTTTAGTGAGTAAAATTTTATTCTGATATTCACATGTTATATTTTACTATAATACAATACAATGCAATATAATATAACTTAATTTCTTGATCTCTGCAAAAACAATCAAATAATTTCAGCCAATCAGAGTGATCTTCGGGTCTGGCTCCTCCCCTTGCTCTGACTCATGTTGTCCTGTTTTGACTGCAGCACGTGAGCCTCCGCCGCGGTACATGGAGTCCCTGCAGGATCAGCTGGAGAGGGGATGTCCAGGAAACGAGCAGCGGAGCCGGAGTCTGGATCCAGTGACTCCCCTGAGAGCAAGCGGACCTGCTGGGGGGTTCTGATCAGCCAAGGTGGGTGCGCTGCATGGGGACAGGATGGCCTGAAAACAGGGAGAATGAAAGAACAGCTCAGACTGGGAGCAGTTCAATGTTTGACATTTAATCCTGCGCAGCTTCTCACCGTATTATGGCCTACAGAGATCTAATGGCGCAAGCCTAAAATATCCTGCAGCTGATCTACAGACAGTATGGTAGCAGGACTGCAGAAACTCTTAACTGCTTTGCATAAAATAATTAAAAATAGTAATTAGAGCATGTTAGTAATTAGATTAAGCTTTTATTTTTTCCAAACATTAATTTTTTTTAGTAGATTTGAAGGAAAAATGTCCTTAATTTTAAGTGAAGGGAAGACTTGGGACCTTAGATGCCAATTGAAGGAATTTAATGTGTCAGTTTGTTAATATTTAACTGTAACATTAAACAAGAAACACATGCAGAGAGCTGTCAATCTCAGTTTCATTTATGT